CACATATCCCCCTCGATAATGTCCAAGTTCTCATCATCCGAAGAGGTGTACCTCTTGCCATTCTGTCCAGCAGCAGCATTTCGATTCATAGGGCTAAAAAGAATGGAAGGATCCTGATACAATCCATTCGTGCCGATAGGGGCAACCTCGACAATCTTTTCCTCAACATCGGAGACAGATTCTTTCTTCAAGACAGATCTATTATCCTTGTACCGTAAATCGGATAACATGTCCAATCTTTTCCGTTCATAAGTGAAGAATGTCGCGGGCGAAACTTTCTTATTCTTTACAAAATCCGACATTTCCTTTCTGGAGAAAACATCGAGAGGAGGCAGTTGCGAATCCAGGGGCTTCAAATTGTAATCGTAATCAAAATTCGACTCAACTCCTTCATTAGCAGAAGCCATCTTATCATCTTCATCGTCCGCTATGGCATCGCCCCCTTCATCAACACCTCGCGTCGAACTAAACGACTTATCGGATTATTGGGATACTGATCCATTCACATACTCCGATGATTTACCTTCGTCGAAGTTCTTACTAAAATCAGAATCTCTTCTATCCAACGCCGCGCGCTCCATGTATTGCCTCCACCTAGATATCATCGAAGCAGTCCTTTTTTTTCCTTCTTTGCTGTGTACGTATATCGGCTTTCTTCTCGGATCCGCAACCAATGCAGCAAACTGCACGACCTGCGCCATTGACGGAACCGTCCCAACTTCAATCGGAAGCTTAACTACTTCTATGTTACCGCAAGAAACAGCTTCATTCAAAGCAGTTTCGTAAAAGTTATCCTTCACAGTTTCTGCTCTAAGATCGATCACTGTTCGGAAGCCTTTCGACAGAAGCCACGCCAAGCTTTCCTCCGTCACCTGTCCGCCCTTCCAAAACACAACCTCCATGTTTTCCGGCGGAGCTCCTTCGTAAACGGCGTTCCAATTCGCCAACAGCGTTTGGCAGGGCTGACCTTCGCCGCGAGGAAATCCGGAATCATAACACACATTCTTCAATCTCTGCAGCTTTCTCCAAACGTTCAAGCTTCGATCGTCCCCGGGGAGCAGATAATTCTCGAGTGCAACGTGCAAGCTCTCGCAGTAACTCTTCATCTCGGATCTGAAATTTGCGAGCGGAGGGAGGGAATCATCCATGGCGGATTTATCTAAGTCGCGAAACAAATGCATTATCGAGGAACGCCCTAACAGGATGTCCTCCCGACCTTTGTTGAGAAGGCAAACCATGCAGCCGAGAACGGAGACGATTTTGTCCTCCAGCATAGGTTTATCCTCCGACGGAACATCGTACGTGACGTTGCACTCTCCGGTGACCGGATTGCAGAGCGCATCCATCAACGAATTGTGGAACCGCTCTGCCGCCCGGAATATTCTGCAGTAAGCCTCGAGCTCAGCAATGTCCCCCGGCAGAGGTCCGGCCGACGGCCAATTGGACGAATCGTTGGAATAAACACTCTGAGAATCCAAGCCGATGTTGACCGACAAGGAGCTGGAGAGCTGAGCAGCGACGACAAGCCTGAAACGACGTCGTCCCCGGTTCCCCTTCCATTTCTGCAACAAAAACCCTAAACCATGGCCGGAAACCTCCACGCAACTCAACAGACGACAAAAGGAAGGCGCACAGAGCGCTCGATTCGTCTGAAAGTGACACAAGCAATGATAATTGCTCGAAACACACCGCGCCGCCGCCGCCATGCCGCCGCAGACGCAACCATCAAATTAACCGCCGGCGCCCTGCTCCAACTACTAATCGCCCAAATCCTAATCCACTAACGGTTTAGGGTTTAGGGTTTAGGGTTTAGGGTTTAGGGTTTAGGGGTTAGGGTTTAGGGGTTAGGGTTTAGGGTTTAGGGTTAGGGGTTTAGGGGTTAGGGTTTTTTTTTTTTTTTTTTTTTTTTTTTTTTTTTTTTTTTTTTTTTTTTTTTTTTTTTTTGGCTGGGCTCAAAGAGCTGCCTACGTACCCCAACGGGATCAAGCCATACGTAGTTCTGCAAAGTTCGATACAAGTGCTGCAAATGTAAATAAAGAGTGTAAGCAAATAAAAGCTAACGGAAGCGAAAGCACGGAAGGCCCGCCGCGTCAGCATGGATGAGGCCACGGGTCGTCGCTGGGATGTCCGCCGGCTCAAGGATCCGCATATGAGGAAGGGCAACAGAGGTGTTCGCCAAGTTGTCCGCCACTTTATTGCCCTCGCGGAAAATATGAGAGATCCTCCACTCGATGCTGCGAAGCTGTAGGCGCAGGTGGTGGAGACAAGGTTGGAGAGTCCAGTGTCCCGTCGAGGAGGAGATGAGAGAGATACTGCTGGCCGAGTCCGTCTCGATCCAGAGAGGGAGGAGGCCGCGGGCAACCGCCAGGTCCACTCCAGATCGAATCGCCTGCAGTTCGGCCAAAATGTTCGTCGTATTCAAAAGGGGAACTTGGAATGCCACAATTGGGGCGCCGGTGGCATCCCGAAAGACGCCCGCGGCTCCAGCGGCGCCTGGATTCCCGAGCGATGCCCCATCAGTGTTGAGTTTGAACCAGCCTGGAGACGGGGCTTCCCAGCGTACCATGACCGGCGGCCGAAGAACCGGAGGCGGGAGGCGAAGGCCGAGAGTGGAGGCTAAGTGCACCTCCCCAGGCCAGTGCTGTCGCTGAAGGAGGCCAGCACGGCCCAACACCTGCAAATGAGAGTGAATACGCCAAATAATCCTGTCAGAGGAAATCTGGATACCTCGGTGTTTGGCGTCATTCCGTGCCGTCCAAAGAAACCAGAAGGCCAGAAGTGGGATATAGGTACGGATGCTCCGCGCATGTGGGGAGGACAGACGCCAAGCAGAGACCATCAGGTGGGGCGCATGTGTCCGCGGGGTTCGGATACGGAATAGGTCGGCAAGATGGCGCCACACGCGCTGGGCAACCGCCGACGAGAAGAATAAGTGTGCAAAAGTCTCGGATTCACTGCAGCACTGGCAGCGAGAAACAATAGGGAGACCCAGCCTCCAAAGGGCCTCGTCAACAGGTATCCGACGGCGAAATAAACGCCATAGGAATACCGACATCGTAGGCGTAAGTAGTGGCGACCAGAGGCAGCAGGAAAGCCAACTCCGAGCCCCGGCTGTCCGGCTCATCTCCCAGGCTGAGGTAGTAGTAAGAGTACCTGTGTCCGAAGCCTTCCATATCGGCTGATCCGCTATCAGGGGGTCAAAAGGAATCGCAGAGACCCGCTGAACAAGGGATGCCGGAAGGTAGGCCTGAAGGCGCGTCAAATCCCACGACCCGTTAACCCACATCTCTTTCACCCGAATCGGCGGAGGGCGGTCCCGGCGGTCAGTGCAGAGAGGGCGATCGCCGCACCAAGTATCATACCAGAAGAAACAGTCCCCACGCCCCAAGTTCCAAGTGATCTGCGTCTGTGCCTCATCGCGGATCTGGCAAAGACGTTTCCAGACCGGGCTGTCGTAGTTCCGGCAGGGGGCGAGACCCGGGAAGGAGCTGCGGAAATATTTATGCTGGAGCGCGCGAGCCCAAAGAGAGGAACCATCTCTGAGACGCCACCACAATTTAAGCGAGAAGGCGCGAACCATGTCGGACAGGCGGCGAATACCAAGCCCGCCCTCGTCCTGGGGCCTCGCCGCATCCATCCAGGAAATCCAATGGCGGCGACGGTGGCCATGATAGGAGCCCCAGAAGAAACGAGCACAGAGCTGCTCCACTGAAGCGAAAAAACGGGGGGGAGCCTTCAAAACCGGCATCAATAAGATTCGCATCAAGGATAGCCGCTGAGAAATCCTGAATAGATCGCAACTTAGGGCGACCTGGGCCCTTCCGTTCAGATATGTCGGCGATGGCATTAAAGTCGCCACCAATAAGCCAAGGAGACCCCAATGACGAGGCCGCGGTGTCCTGTAGGAAAGACCAGAGGGCACGGCGTTGGGTGACAGAACATCGCGCATAGATCCCAGATAGGAAAAAGGGCCGGCGGTGCTGCGGAGACGAAACCTGCACATGAAGACACTGATCGATCTCCGAAATAGGCTCCAGTTTATAGGAGTCATCAGCAAGAATCCAGATAGAATTGACCGCGTTGGTAAGCATCTGGGAGAAGCCAAAACGCCGGCAAAAGAAAGCAACATCCGCAAAAACCATAGGCTCCAGAAGAATAAGAATGCGGATACGGTGCTGCTTGCAGAGCCAATGTACCTCTCGTTGAGCTCGGGGGTTTGCCAACTCCGCGCACATTCCAAACCAAGAGGGAGGTGTCCGTCATCGGGAACTGGCAGAAGGGCGACGAGAGGGACTTACTTGCTGACGAGAGATGCTGCGGGTAATCGGTCTAGAGAAGGTCGGCGGCAGAGCCTGTGGCCGGTCATCCGAAACTGTCTCCAAAGATCCGCTGAGAGACGGAGGTTCAGCAGCCTGGTTCAAAACGCACACCCCCCTGCTCGGATGCGACTCCGTCGACAGAGCGACAACAGGGAGCGTTCCGATGAAGTCCGCAGGAGGGGTGGGTTCGGACCAGATTCAGGGAAGAGCTCTGTCCCTGTAGTTGCATCAGCAGGTAGATCACCAGAGTGAAAATCAGTGTACCTCTCGGGGAAAGAGATAGTGAATCGAGGAGGGGCGGTTGGCCATCCTTAATAAGAGGCGAGTCACCATCCGAGTCCTCGGCGAAAGTGGCTTGTAGTGCAGAGTCCTCCTCCCGCTGGGTGTCCGAGGAAGGAGAACCAGTAGCCGATAGGCATGTGTCCACTGAAAGATCACGTCGATCGCGGACAGGGGATGCAGGAGGTTCAGAGAGCAGCACTGCCTTCCCTTATCCAGGCCATGACCAGAGGGGAGTCCCCAAATTGCCAAAGATTGAGCAGGAGGAAGCGACACAGGCTCCGGAGGCACCTGCATATCATCAGCAAGCAGTGGCAAGGCGACGAGGGTACCTGAGTGGCCATATGGGTTGCGGAAGGAGACCAGGGGCTGAGGCGGTGGCAGGAGTCGCTGGAGTGGGACTCAGCCGACTGTCATCCAGAGGGGAGGCAGGACTGTCAATCGGAGGCTCAGCTGTAGTCTGACCGGCCAGAGGCGGGCCGGAGAGGTTTCCGAAGGCGTCAGAAAGTCCCCAAAGGTAACTCGAACACCAGAGGTAAGCAGCATCGCAGAGGCATCCCCCCGTGAGTGGGCAAAGGTCACCCGAGGAGGAGCATGGGGGCAATGAGCCTCCGCAGGGCCGCTGAGATGCGCCGGTGTGAGCTGCAGTGACTTCTCGGCCGTCTGTGATGGGGTTGGGGCCACCTGTGTCTCCCCAAAGGTCACCCGCACACCAGAGCGAAGACGTCTGGAGCCATTCAACTCCGGGATGTCATCAGAAGGTCGCCGGGTAGAAGGCTGGGGGTCCCGTCGGAGGAGCTGAGAAGGAGCCTGCAAGGAGCCAGAATCATTAGTAATACCAGTAGAAGGCGTACCCCGATTTCGATTGCGGCGCCGACGACGGCGTCGAGCAGTGGGTGGCCGGGATTCCATGATATCACCAGAGGCAGGGGCTGCAGAAATCTCAGAAGGGCCATGCACCGAGTCATGGCGACCAGAAGGCGCAGCAGGAGGAACCTGCGCAGCTGATACGGTTGCTGGTACCTGCTGCGAAGAAGGTCTGCGTAAACAAGCCTCCGCTTTGTGCCCAAGATGGCGGCAGAGTGAGCAGAAGCTAGGAAGCCGCTCGTAAATGACCTTCTGCTCAAGCACACCAGTACCCACATCAATCTCAAAAGCATGTAGGAGGGGCTTCGACAGATCAACCTCCACACAGACTCGGGCGTGAGAGCAACGACTCTGTGTAGCCGTGGGGCCATCAACCTTCAAGGGGGTCCCAACCGGAGGCAACTGCGAAGAGCATATCTTTATGGAACATGTGGAGAGGAAGTAGAGAAATGTTACCCACACCGGGGCAAACGGAGGTTCCTCAGTAGTTTTGAAATCCGGATTCCATTTAAGAAGTCTCATCGGAAATCCCTTGATAAACCAAGTCCCCTCTGATCCATAAACGCGTATAGTCTGCCTCCGTAGTTAGGCGAATCACAACATGTCGATGATTCAAATGTTGTAAAGCAAACTTTCCTGCCAAACGAAAACTCGCAAATCCCTCGGCGATCTTTCCAAGAAGAGTACCCATGTGAAAATTTCCCGATAGAATATATGGGTGTGAAGCCGTGTACCTTGCAGTTTCGGCAGCAGTGAAAGCAAGGCGTGGTTGTCCAGCAGTGTGGACCCATTGGCCAATAGGAGCCGGACGGGGCTCCGCCAGAAAAGAGTAAGGACTGTCCTCAGGAACATCGGATTTGGAGTCGTGCGGAGGTTACAGCATTGGCGAAA